GCACGAGCTCCTGGCGTTTCATCCTGGCACATGTCGATCAGCCTCCCACGCAGCTGGCCGCGCTCCATTGAGGCATGCACCAGCCTGCGCATGCGCTCAGCCCGATTCGCCCGCTGCGGGGGTGGCTTCAGGCCATCTTGGGACAGTATCAGGTTCGCCCAGTCCGGGGCATCGCCTCCTGCGTCCTCGGGCTCTGGTGCTGCCACCGTGCGGAAGCAGTGCGCCGGCAGCGGCTTCCCTTTGGGACTCCACAGCGGCCAGCCGCGCCGCGACGGCGCAAGCTCGGCCATCACGGCATGCCATGGCGTGCAATGCTCTTCGGCCCGCCGCTTGGGAAACGGGCAGACGGCCATTGGAGAAAAGTGGGGGGCCCAGCTACGCCTAGTTATGCCTAGCTCATACCCGCCCACACAAATTCCCCATGAAAGGACCGATCAGCTCACAGCAAATCTCGCTCTCAGGTCCAAGGCTCCACTCCTGCCAAATCATGGGCCCTGAGAGGGGCCGGTTCTTGGGTACGGTGAAAATGAAGGAGGAGAGCTGCAAACCCTCCACTGTCAGGATGCTGGCCTCAGCTCTCACAGACAGCAAACGCCACAGAGTGCTCATGCACAAGTTCGGCGCAATGAAACTGGATTGCCACGTGCGCCAAGCTTCTAAGGCCCAGAAGTCAGGGCGAAAACCGGCATAATCGGAGCCTGGTGACTCAGTCTGGCCTCGAACACAAGCAAAGAGTCGCAACGGTGAAATCTAGCCTCACTGCAGGTGGCTGTGCCATGCAATGGCTCAAGATTATAAGGCCCGGGCAAACCCACACAAAGATCCGGTACAAGTACATTGATAGGACCGTGAACCCCAGCACTTTGTGAGCCTTGAAATCATGCAGCTAAGCACGGTGGGTGTGGGCAACACCTAGGATTCTGTTGTCTCCATCCCAAACCAGTCTTTGATCTCCATTTTGACGCCAAGACCCTGAACCCACTCACAACTCAATGCCAGCCAGGTACGTTGATCGGGTCTTCTTTTGTGAAGATCCGGCTCGTCAACTGGGCGCAAACAGGCAGGTGCCAAACTCCCCCTCTCCCGGCAACTCAGATCTGAACAGAGTTGACGCAAATGCAGATCCGTCAACGGGCTCGATGGGGAACACTGTTTCGAAGTGCTCGTTCACAGGCGGCCACAGATCCCACCCCAGCTACTGATTACATGGAACTCGAAACATCGCTCACATGAGCAGCTGCTGGTTCTGCCCAAGCTGCCGTATCTTTCTCGATGGCTATCTCGGCTTTAACCTGTGCTGCGGCCAGAACGCCCACAGCGCGCTGCTTGATCCTTGGCTCACAATCTGATCGCCTCGCCTGAGCTCAAAGGAACCAAACCACAGCGATGCAGCGAGTCACTGCTCCAAAGCAAACTCGGAATGCCCCACGTCGTGAAACGGCTCAGCAGCCTCAGCGCCTGGGCCAGAAAGCGCTGCGCTAAGCCAGTGCAACCTACCAGGAGATACCGGGCCTGCATGCTGCAGAAGCAAGTCGATCCCACCAGGATGGCTGGTAGCAAAGTCTGTGATGTCCGCCACGATGCCATCAATTGCAATCCAAAGGTCCCCCTGGCAAGAAAGAGAAGCAGAACCGCGCAATAGCACCATTGCAGAACACGTGTCAGACACGGGCCCCGATCCCATTGCTTGCAACTGTCACAGTCCCACTGTGCATGAGAATCGAATTGCCTGAACCTAGTGACACAATGAAGACGCAACAGCAACAAAAACAACCAACTTGTAGGCTTGATTTGCACCTATACCATCTGGACCATGCTTGAGTTGTCTTGTTTGGTCCTGCCTGGTGCGAATGTTTCTTGAGCTCTTCAGCGCTGATGGGCCGAAGGTCTTTGGGGCCCTCTTCTTTGCTCTCCCGCATCATTGGCGGAATTTCCTGGCGGTCATCTTCAGAATCCGGAGTTGGGGGCTCAGGGAGGGGTGAGCTGCCCCTAGCGGAAATGGCTGCACTTTTGGGGGACTCCTCCAAAATGTATGGTCCTCCGGATTGGATTCGTCCGAAGACATTGCCAGCAGAATGCCAGAACAAAAACCCGCATGCTTCCACACGAGGCTTGTGGAATGTCCGCTTCCTCCGGGCACATGGTGGTGCATGGTGGGCTCTCTACACTATCTTGCAACCACCAAACACCTGTTTCCTGTTTGGGCATTGCTTCTTCTTTATGTGCCCCGCCCAATAATGGCCCACATCTCTGGGCGAGCATGCGCGTCTCTGCCTTGAGGGTGGTAATCCACCAGCAAAAGAGTAGCAGAAAGATGGACAGCGAGATGCCAATAATTCGGCCTTGCTCCTTGGTGGGCGCTATCTCCTCGGCTGCTGCCACGCAAGTTCTATGTGCAAACAATAGCATGCCACTACGCGGCTGCGGGGGTTTGAGGAAGCGGAGCCAGACTATGTGAAAGCAGCGAAGAACGCGGATGTATCCATCCTTGGGATTTGCCCCAACTTACTGCCATTTAACAAAACTGGAAATATGAATTCTAGTCGAGTCAATTTGAAGAAAACAACCGGCTTGTCTTTCCTCGCTAGGTTCCATTTGAACTGCAAGTAAATTCCAATTTGCATCCTACAGGGAATATAATGTCTATTTAAATATCGTTCAAAAACCAAATGGATTGTAGCAAAGTCGAACTTGGGAGAGAGGTCTTATTTTAGTTATAATTAAAATCTTTAGAAGGAACTCCTACTCGTGTTTAAAATCTAACCCGAGATAAGAACTCCAATTGAACTCTAAACACCCGACTCAAAATTAAAGCCTTACAATCAAAAACTTGCAAGCCAGTATGCTGAAACTGCATGGTCCTTGGGTGACTGTTTTTTTTGTTCACTCCTTTTTGAGGGCAGGTAAATTAGAAGAAACAACAGGTTTGTCTTTCCTCATTAGCTTCTGCTTAAATTCTAATTAGAATCCTAACTGGAAAGGAACTCTTATAGAAAATATTATTCGATATAATTGTCCAACCGAAATCCACACCAGTAATAAAAAAAAACTTCTGAAACAATGGGAGTTCCATTGAAATATATAAACCAAAAATCATATTTGTCTTCTGAAACTACTTAGATTGCCAACCCATGGGCTGAAACGGCCTTTCCTTGAGATTGTTCTTCGTTGTTTCTCTGCTTTTACGGGGCAGCCAAACTAGAGGAAATACACAGCTTGTCTTTCCTCGCTAGATGTTATTCAATCTGCTTATCAATATCTAGCGTCATTCCTACTTGGAAAGGAATTCCTATCTAAACACCAGTTCAAAAGAATGTGTGCAGTTGAGTTCTAGTGAAATCACCGCTGAAGCTTAATGCAATAGAACTGAAATTGCAGTTTCCCTGGATTTCTATGGGGAGTTCACCTTTTTTTTGAAGGGCAAACAAACTAGAAGAAACGACAAGCGTGCCTTTCCTTGTTAGATTCCATCTAGATGCCAACTAAATTCTAAACAAAACATACTTGGAAAGGGCTTCCTGAAATCCTAACTTAAAATACAAATTCTAACTAAATTACTTGGAAGGAAAAGAACAGCTTGTTTTTCCTCCACGGCTTCGCATTTCAATCTCTAATAAAGTCCAGGAAGTAATGGTTAATACCCAATCCAAAATCAGAAGTCTAAGCAGGTTCATTACATGAAACAACCAGCTTGTTTTTACTCAAGTTCTATTTGAATTACGATTAAATTCAAGTCCAAAACCCTGTGTAGAAGCCGAAATCTAAAAGAATTCCAATTGGATTCTAATGAAAGTCGTACTGAAAAGTAAAGCCTTGCAACTAAAATCTTGTAAACCAATAGAACTGATGTTTATTTGCCATGGATTTCTATTGGTTGTTCACTCCTTTTATTGCTAGAAGGCGGGGGTGAGGACAAGTGCTTGCAGTGGATGGCCTTCTCCCCTTATGGTGTCTCTGACATCCAAGCGTTCACTGTGCATGGAACACATCAACAAACATCAAAAGCAACCCACATCAACAAACATCATTTACCTTTTGCCAATCTTGCGCCGCCCCTTGTGCCTGCAGCCCCAACAAATGAGACATGCCACACGGATACTAAAAAGAAAGCATTGATTTTTGAACGACGCTCATAGTATGACAAACCCGCTAGGCCAGTGGCAGAATTGAATCCAGCCGTGCTCATCATTTTGCCAGCAGCACGCCAGGCTAGGATGTTGTGTTTCTCGTTTTTGCAGTTTGCTTCAGAGACCGATCAGCCGCCTAGGTCAAAACATGCATAAGATGGAAGTATTCAGTCACATCGGCAGTTTTTTTCCGCTGTGGACCCACGGCAGCCAAAACTCCGCCAGTTTCCTCGAGTCACGGTCCCCTCAAAAACAAAGATCTCAAGTCTCAGCCGAATGCACAGGGCAATAACTGTTTAAACAGACTTGACAAGCTCGTGGTACCCTGGTTGGGTTCAGAATGTTGGGATTGTAAGTCATCGCCTGGTCTCACAGCGCAAAGCAGGCACTCTCAAGTGTTGACCTCAAAGGAAAGCGTCAAGCGCACGTTGGAGTTTCGCAAACAACAGCTTGCAGAAAAGCGGTGCATCCATCCCTTTTCCATCATGCCGATTGTTGACAACCCATCGTCACAACTGAGCAGCGCCCGAAACTTGTTGACATTTGGTCCTACAAACTTGGCGAACAATCCTCTTCGAGGCCTTACTACAAATCCGAAGCAGGCAAATAGTGGAACCACGGACAATACATGCCAATAGGCTTGTTTTGGCTAAATGTGATATGCTTCGTCTTTTTTTCATAGCCAACAGTGGCCTGTGCCAAGTTTCCATCCAAGCTGGCCAGCCGATTGGGAATTGCGATGTCTGCGTGCCGACTTGCTCCAGAAAGGAAATCCTTGGCCATTTGATCAAAGAGTGCTGCAGCCGGTGCTTCAGCGCGCCCGCTTGCAGCTGAGCTGCAATTCCTCTCCGAGCAGTGAGGCCAAGGTCGGCCGCACACTGTGGTTCTTGTCTGGCAGCGGAAGAAAGCAAGCGCTTTCCGCGTGCTTTTTCTCTTAAGGTGGCCGGGGAATTGCCTTCTAACCGCTGGAAGTCCTTCCCAAGTGATTTCTGTGCAATGGGGGAAATGGATTCTCTGTGCCATGGGATGAATGGCTTTCCGGTACAGAGGAATTCAGCTCCCCACCCGAAACCCACTTGAGCAGTTCCAGGCCTAGCTTCCGCGGGTGGAGCATCTCCACGACCACGTCCTGACCATCTACTGCTTTTCCCCGATGGCAACGAACGGCGCCGTTGTCCCTTGAAGATTCCCAGTGATTCCACTTACCTATATGGCTGTGGGTCAAAACCCTGCACCCCTGGTGAACATCAATTTAGGTGGCACATGGGTGTTCATAGGTTGTGACCCATGCCCATATACTAGGTGACCAAAAAGGGCGCAAAGGCAATCTTTCGACTCCCCGCCTCCAGCGTCCTCTGCGAAGAGTTGGCGTCCCCTGCCTTCTGCAAGTCCAAGTGGGCCTGGAGAAGCTGAACCTGGCAGGGCAAACCCGCGCGACTGTCACATCAGTTTGATCTTCAGGCGCTGGCTTACTCAGCTTTCACATTGGGCTTTGCCCAATCCCAAACTATGAGCAACGGCCCTAACCAAGCGGGAAAAGTGGGGCACCATTCTGGGCAAAATGCTGACCTTGATGAGCGTCTCATCAGGGTCCATGTCGACGTCTACGACCTCCCTGCAATTCTGCCTGAGGCTTGAGAAAGACAACACCTTGCTCTGAATGTCCCACACCAAAAAGAAAAAAACGACTCCCCCACAAGAAGCCTTTTTCGCGTTCAGGGAGGAACTTTCCGGCAAGTCGCGACTGCGAAGAGCATTGCTCGCTAGCCCAGCCAATCCATAGGAAGCTGCACAGCAGCACTGCAATATGCCCTGAGCTGCCGAACCGCGCCCCCCCCCCCCCCCCCAGAAGCTGTCACTGGAGTCAGGGCCAGCATACGGGTCGACCAAAACCAAAAGTTGATCCGAGCTTCGTGACATGGGCTGGGCCCGTCGGCAGCCCCCCGCAGGTTCGGGGGAATATGGAAAAAACGGAGCTGAAGGGTGTCAGTTCCTTGAGCCCAAAGGCGTAGGAAACGTCTCAGGTGCCACAAATATGTTTCATGCGTTCACTCCAAAGCCGCCTCGGGCCAAAACGAGGTATGTAATTATTTACGTAGCAAATGGCTGCATATCCCCTTGACCCTCTGGATCCCTCTGGCAGTGCTTGGAGGGTGGAAACCATAGAGCCAAAATGCTGGGCACCGAAACGACGTGGTGCTGAGGCCCGCCTGGTCTCGAAGGGACAGTTTCGTGACCGCCTGCGCCCTGACGCGAAGCGATGCGAAGCGATTGGATTCCAAGCGCAAGCTGCTGCTCGCATGGCAAGCGCCCTTCCAAGTTCCAAGACATGGCTCACCCTTTTTGGGGATGCCCCTTTTCCTGGTGGCTTCGTCTAGGGAAACCAACAGGAAAAACCACCCATTCTTGGGGGCCCTAAAAGAAGAGGCACCCACATGGAATTGCAGGCCTAAAAAGAGGAACCGACATGGAATTGCAGGCCATCCACATGGAAACTCTCCAACATGGGCGAACAAGGCTCGCCTTGCTTTTCAGACAGATCACTCTTTGAGGAGCCCAAGGCTAGACACCCCCCCAAACTGGTTGCCTCCCCGCATTCACGGCCTTGCTGCAAAAAAAGAGAAAAAAAACGCCGCGAAGGCCCCGAAACTCTGAAGGCCCCCGCGTGTTTGCCAACTCCTTGGGGTTGAGCTCCGAGGCCTGCGCGCAGCGTGCAAGCTGCCTCCGGCACCCCCGTTTTGGCAATGATCTTTCGGCTGGCAACGTGTGAGGCTAACCTAAAAAATGGCAAAGGGGGAACTGACCTGAAGCCCTTGGTCAAGAACCAAAAGGCCGCTGGGTGAAGCTTACGTCTCGAAACCAATGGATCCCGACCGGCAAAATCAAAGTTCGAAAGGATGCAGGACAGTATGTGAGCGCAACCACTTCTTACAGCCTTGAATGACCAGGCTGCCAAAGAACGTCACCACTTCTTTGCGAAGTCCCATCCAAGAAAGCCAGAATTTTGATGCCTGAGCCCCAGGCTCTCGCAGTCATGTCGGCAGCTAGCGCTGCCAACTGCGGCAAGCCATCCTGTGCACAGCTGCAAAGGACGGAGTTCGGGCTGAGCGGAACCCACCTACCGGTTCCTCGCGCAGGACCAAAACGAATGAGCCTCACCAACCATGCAATCGCAGGGTCAGCTCATTTCTGGGGGAAAAGGCATGCGTCACATACGAGAAGACTGCTTCAAAATGGCCATCTAGCTGCAACGGTTGATCCCTGACTTGACAAGAGCGAAGCGGCACAACCACCAACTTGGTCTCGAGTGATTCTCTGCCAACTGGGGGACGCGCGGTCTCCCGCGGCTTCAACTGGGCCGCAGTGCCTAAGCCGAAGCAGCGAGATAAGGGGAAGGCATTGGGTACTCCAAACGACTCAAATCACTGTAGGCCCATCACTTGCTCGCCGGCGTCGCCTCGCGGAGCGCTTCAGGGCCCTGCCTCCCGCATCTCCCCGCATCCCGCCTGTCGCTTTGCACCGCTCCTCTCATGGATGCGAGGCCATAAGCCGTTCTAGAGGTACCTCCCCCAGTCTTTCCAGGCATCCTTCTTTCCAAAATACCACCCAAGACCCTGGGGAAACCGCTGGTTTTTGAAAAGAACGATGGTTGAAAAGAATGGGGAATCAAGCCCTAGAGCAATAGCCAGACCCTAGGGCGCTAGGATTCGCATTGAACGGGTGTCGGAAAGGGAACAAAGCAGCCCAAATGGGCAAGGCAGCTCCTGGCGTTGCTGCAAAGAAAACGCCCAGCCCGCTCCCAAGGATGGCTGGCCTGAGGCAAAGCAACTGGATTGCAAAGCTGCTCGCTCACTCTTCGATGCTTCGATGCCTGCGAGCCTAGCTCCCCTGGTGATGCACCTCAGCAGGGCGCAACAGGTGCTAATGTGTCATGCGGATAAGGTCGGTTTCCGAGATCAACTTGGTGCCAGTAGGGGTTCCATGGGACCGCGTGGCCAACTTCCTTCTTAGCCATCCTCGGGTTTCATGGCTGGATTTGCCAACAGAAAGGAATCTAACCTTTGTGTCTTCATATCTTCGCTGTCAAGTGAACACAGGGTCATGGTATCTCTCATGTCAATTCATGTCGTCGCCAAGAGTTTGCTTCAAGCATGGCCGCTGAGCAACCTGTTTGGATGGACCAGGGGCCATGGCTAAAGAATCGAACACGTCTTCTTCATTCTTCACTTCAGACGTTCACGAGGGCCCGCAAAAGAATCTTCCTGGCGAAAGATCATCCAATGTCTAAACTCACTCCAGCCTACGAACCACCTCCTGATCAAACATCGTGTAAATGCGGAAGGCAGCCGCCATGCACAAGTATCTAGGCAATGCACTGCAACCGGCGGCTGGCCTGGCGTTCAGAGACAGAAATCCCCATGACACATGAGAGCTGCTTCACAGGCCAAAGCAACAAGACCAACACAGTCAGGCCTTGTTGAATGCAGTGAGCGGCCAACATCATGGCCAGCGCAAGAGTTCCAGCTTTGGAATTATTGTTGGGCGAGGCTGTGCGGATGTCGGAAAGCGGCAGCAAATCAACGACAAGGTGGGTCTCAGGCCCAAGTAGAACATCGTAAACAGAGCATGGGTGAGCAGAGGTCTGCGCTGAGTGACCTGGAATACCTGTATAGGTCTCGCTAAGCAGCAGCAAGTGCCAAGTATGTCAAATGATGGAACTGCAAGGCATCACAAAAACCCAAATTGGTACTCGAACTCCGTCCATCAGCAGTTGCTTGCAGTCATCCAAGCTTGCTGCCACCCGGCCTTTCTAAGCAAAATGCGTCATTCGACGTTCAGGTCACGGAAGCCTGTTTGGCTGTGAAGCGCAATGCCAAGCGATGCCTCCTTCAAAGTTGCCCAGGTCAAGTCATTGCGCGCGAGTGGCGGATAAAAACTGCGACGTCAGCTTGCCCGCCTTAAAAACGGAGCCCTGATGAATTAATGCAAGATCAATCCAGTCTCCGACCGAACCTGCTCGATCTGCCATGAACACCAAAACCTCGCGGCGAATCGGATCGAGCAGGTGGTCAACTGCAAATGCGACGCCTGCTTCGGGCGGTGCCGAGAAAACTTACGATGATCATTGCCATCGGTCCTGAGTTGAAGATCAAAATCTGGCATACTTCAGGGGACTGGGTGGTTTGGAGGCTTGAACCACTGCTTCTTTTGAAGGGTAAATGGGAAGCCACCCCAAAGCCGTCTGATTTCTCACAGGGCGGGCGAATCGTCTCCTCATCTTTACCCAGGTGTTGATACCCTGTCTGGCGGTAGGTATATGGCCAGGGCCGAGCAAATTGAATTTGGGAAATGTGAGACGCTGACGGGGCTCACATAAAGCGGCACCCTTCCGCTGCGGCCTCTGCGGGATTAAAGGCGACCCTATTGCAAAATGGACTTCTGCAAAGATTCGACATGTGGGGGCTGCATCAAAATGATCGAGCCCCCTTGAAGGTCGTTTCATACTTCGCTTTAACCCTTCTCCCACCCCTCCCCCCCTCTCCCACCCCCCCCCCCAAAAAAAAAAAAAAAAGCTCAATGGCTGGCTCAATGGCTTGGTGGCTCAGCGCCACACACAGCACTCGCCCTCTGGCTTGCCCTCATCCTAGGCGCAGCCCAAGAAAGTAATGAGACAAGCAATCCACCCTCCCAGCAATGGAAGCCGATCGGAGGCTTTGGAAGACGAGTTTCCACATTTTGGGCGGCTGTTCACTTCCGCGAGTGGGAAGAGGGCAAGGATTGTTTTGCGTGCCCTTCCTGTGGGCCCCCTGCCCCCAAGAATTTGTGGATTTCACTGGGGCGTCTTGGATGCAATGGCAGCCACCCATGTTGAAACCCCTGAGTACTTGCCAACCCGCGCAAAGCGGTGCGCATGAACCTCGGAACATGCGTCATTCAACTGCTCTTGATGAAAAGCAATGGCAAAGTCTGAGACATGGCCGGCGCAAGCCACACTGTGCGGCCCGGCCCCTTCCACCTTCCAGACTGTGTCACAGGCAACGATGTTCTCCCTCCTTGCGAACGGGCAAATCGCAATGCACAAGCGGAAACTTCAGCTGGGTTGAGGGTTGCTGAACCTCTTCGCTATGACCAACGCGCATTCTTGCCCAACCACACGCTAGCCTGAACTCACCTTCTGGGCGGGGGAAACAAGCCCGGGGTCCTGAGAAGCACGTCCTCCGTGTCAGCTACAATGCGAGCAGCTCCAAGGCGAACCTCCTGCCCAAAGCTGCGACCAATGGAATTAAAGACTCTGGGAAAGGGAGTGTTCAGAAAGAAATCCTTTTCATTGTTGCTCATGCCATCTTGCAGCATACCAGTGCACAGAAGGTGTACTACAAAAGTTCGGGATGTCTAGCGACATGCCACTGCCAAGAAACCCCGCGGCAGTTGCAGGCGCGAACGTGGCTGCAGTTGAGTTTGGTAAACATGCGGAATGTTGTTAATGTTCAGGTTCTCTCTCTCTCTCTCTCTCTCGCTCCAGCATCCTCGAGCAGGTCTCGCTCGTCCCAGATCAGTAACACAGGAAGCTCATTCAGAGTCAGCGGCAAGCCAATGCCTTACCTGACTCTTCAACCTAGCTACCCATGCCAGTGGAGCGTCAGAAACTTCGCAATGCTCTTTATTATTCTGGTTCTTGTTGATGCTACATTGGATTGTGTTCCTGTTGGTCTGCTTGCTCTTGTGTTGTTGCTATTAGCTTACTGCTGCTGTTGATGTTGCTGGTGCTGGGCTTCCCTTCGGGCGTCACATGTAAGCGGCGTTTTCCAGCAAGAGTCCCTATACATATACCCACGCACTCCTGTGTTTTTGACTGTTCGGGCAACCTCCGCCCCTATTGAGTTGCATTTTGGTATCCGCCGACATTGCTCGGCGTGTCGGACACCTAAGAGAGGATAGAGGATAACCCCCCCCCCTAACCCCCCCCCCCCACCCGACGTCTGATACGTGGGGGGGGGCCCCAAGGACCGCGCGGCAATTTGATGACGTTCCACTAAACGTAGTCTTCGGGGACCCGGTGTCGCAAAACAGGGGTCCCAGGCTCGATTCCCCCTGCCGGCTTTTTTGCTGGCTTGGGCTTCCTGCATCCTTTTGCCGAAAATCTGGAAAAACTCTGTGTTTTTGGACATCATCTTTGCGAAAACGCTGGAAAAACAGTGTTTTTTGCGGGAAATACTGGGGAGCAAAGGGGAAGTGCAAGGATACATACATACATACAGACATACATACAGACAGACATACAACATACATACATACATTACATTACACAACATCACATTACATTACATTACATACATTACATACATACATACATACATACATTACATTACATTACATTACATTACATTACATTACATACATACATACATACATACATACATACATACATACATATGCATACATACATACATACATACATTACATACATACATACATACATACATACATACATACATACATACATACATACATACATACGAGAGAGGGAGATTGGGGAGAGAGTGGCTTGGGGGGATGGGGAGGATGGGGAGCGGAGGGAGGGAGAGAGGACGACAGAACACACCAGGGAGACAAGGGCGAGAGGAAGGAGAAGAAAAGGGAGAGGACAATGTCGGCGGACTGAGCCGGAGGCTCTAAAGTAACAAATACAGAGGCAACATGATGAGAAAACCAGAAGAAACAACCAACAACGAGGAAATCCAAACAACTCGAAGAAACTCTTTGGTGGACAACCCATGTTGAGAGAGCTCTGAAATCATTGTTTGACTGTTTTGCTTTTCTCGAGGCAGCTTTGTTTTTTGTTTGTGTCCCTCGAGATTGTTTTTTTCGGTGTTCCTCGTTTCTTGTTTGGTTTTCTGTGTCTATGATGGGCCTGCGTCTGCTTTTTCTCCTTGATTCCTCTTCAACATCCAATTTAATGTAAAAGTCGATTTAACCAACTAGAAGCAACAACCAGCTCGCCTATCCTTACCAAATTCCAATTGAAGTATGAACTAAAAAACATAATCAAATCCATCTCGATTTGACATGTGACTCTAAAACGTAATTGGGTTGCAACCAGCTGGTCTTTCCTTACTAGGTTCTAGTGAACATATGTTCAAACTCAAGGTTTTCCAAAGGAGTTATTTCGACTTGGAAAGAACTTCCGTTTGTACGCTAATACACACGTCATGGATTCTATTAAAACTCTAACTGAACTCATGCGTAAATTCCGTTTAACATCTCAATGGAAAAAAAGAGTTCTAAGTAAGCTCGAGTTAAAATTCTACTGGGAATGAAAGGACTTTTAAAATCTAATTAATCTAAACCAAAGATTGAAGTGAAATCTAGTCGAAATCCAATTTTAGCTTAACACGTGCAATTTAGAACTTGCAAACCTCATTTGCATTGCCCATGGGTGTTTACTGGCTTTTCACTTCTGTGAGGGGCTTACAAACTTGGCTCGCCTTATTCTGCTCTAATTCGCCTCGGCCCTCAGTCAGGGATCAGAACCTCTTCGGGATCTTCCAAATCCCATCCCCAACCGCACCCCCTCTCCGACCCAACCCATGTTGCCAGCCTGGAAGCGGTCTGACCCACATCCCCTCCCAAAACCTTAGAAACCGGTCCCCTCTCAAAACTAGTCCAACGGCATTCCATCAAATCCCCTCGAAAAACCGTAGAAACCCAACTCACCCTAGAAACCAGCCAACTTCCCGTCAAACCAATCAAAATCCCCTCTAAACACCGGTCCAACTACAGCCAAATCCGACTAGAAACTTGTCAAACCCCTAGAAGCTTGTCAATTTCCCCTCAAAACCCGCTCCATAAACCAACTAGTCCCTCTAGACATGTGTCAAATCCCCTCAAAAAACCAGTCCAACTCCGGTCAAATCCCAGCACAATTCCTCTCTGCGGCTCCCGTTCTGCTCTTGAAGCCATGTGGAAACCGCGGAAATGCACCCACCCCCGACCGTAGAAAACAGCTCATGCATTTCAGCGCCAACTCACTCACTCTAACAAACACAACACTTCAAGGCAACCTAAAACACGTTTACGTTTAACCCATTAGAACTGAAATTCCACTGTCCTTGCGGTTCTATTGGTTGCTCACTCCTATTTAGGGGCAGGCAAAGTAGCAGAAACAACAAGCCTGTCTTTCCATACTGGAATCTAATTGAATTCCAAATCCACTCCAATGCCAAACTGGCATGAGAGAAAAATGCGAAGAGATGCAGCTACTCTGGCTGGAATGAGCCGCAACAATTGGCAGCACGCTACAACAATTGAAAGTGGACGACCCGTTGAGCGATTCGCAGTTACAAACACTCTTCAGCAAAGCAATCGTACAACTTGCTCACGATAACCTCAAAATCACTAAAAAAGTGCACTAGCGCACTCCCAGTCTCAAGAAACAAGGGGGTGCCCCCGATGTGACCGCGGCCCGCCTCTGGCAGCCGGCTTTCCTGATAGCTCGCATGGGGCCCGTGCCAACTCTGTGCGAACTTCGCCTGCTTCGTCACCGACTGCGCTTCCGCCGCCGCGGTGATCAGCGACACCTCGCAGAAGGATTTCGAAAGCCTGCGTTGCTCGTGGCCCTATGGAGCCCAACGGACCCCCGAAACACTTTGAGGAGATCCGATACAGAGCGAGGGAAAGCATGGAATGCATTCATAATTTTCCTCCTGTTCGCAGTTTTCAGGGCTGCAAATCGCATTTCACCTTCTCCGCGTTGGCTCAAACACGCACTTGCCTGGCGACAAAGGCTGCCGTGGTAACGATCGATTTCGTGAGGATGCTAAGTTGAAACGCGCAGTCAAGCGCGTTTAGAAACAAGCTGCTCCGGAAAATGCCTCATGCGAAACAGCTCTAATTAGCATCACCAGGCGCACAGAGGGGCATGCTTAAGAGCGAGTCATACACCCAAACACTCACCGCACGGCAAAAAGGAAACGCGGGCTGCAAGCCAGCCATGCCTTTGGCAGTGCAACCCCTCCCTTTTGCTGAACGTTGTGAGGAAACTTCAAGAAACCTAAAGCAGGCCATGCTATTTGGAGAAGACTGCTTCTGTGAACCCTGAAGCTGGGGTGCGGATTTATTTTGGGATGTTTTAGGATTTTTTGTTTTTCGTTTTTCGTCCGGGCCAAAATTGACGCATTTTGCACTAGCCCGTCAACATCCCCAGCATCGTTTTCAACATCCCCTGCATGTCCGACCAACATCCCTAGCATCACCAACAAATCGTGGGTAACAAAATCGAAAAAGTAGCTGGCGGGTTGACGGGGTCAAAAAAATGATGATTCAAATAGGAGGGCATTTCAGTCCCTGTAAAAAGAAATAGCTAAAAAGTAGCGGGGGGGTTGGGGGGGGCGGCAGCCGTTCCATGATGTTCGCAGAAGTGATGATTCGAATAGGGGTGCAATTCAATCTCTGCAAAAAGGTAAAAAAGTTGTGGGGGGGGGGGGGTTGCGCGGGGGCGGCAGCCTCCCCCATGATCTTCGAAGAATTGAGGATTCAACTAGGAGTGCAATTAAATCTCTGTAGACAATCTAAAACGTAGCGGGTTCGAAGAAGTGCATACATACAAACATACATGGGTTACACAGATTACCTAAGATATCGTATTTTGCAGCATTTTCTCGCGAAATTGGACGCTCGGAAAAGTGATAATTCAAATAGGGGTGCAATTCAATCTCTGCAAGAAATCTAAAAAGTAGCGGGGGGGTTGGGGGGGCGGCAGCCCCCCCATGATGTTTGAAGAAGTGTTGATTCAAATAGGGGTGCAATTACTCTGCAAACAATCTAAACAATCGCGGGTTGGGGGGGGGCTTTCCCCCCATGATGTTCGAAGACGTGATGATTCAAATAGGGCGGAGCTGGTGATGCTGATGATGCGGGAAGCCAAATCCAAAAACCAATGAAAGTGTGCAAAAGCCAAAAAGCCCAGAGAGGAACTGTGAAAGCAGAGGATGCGAAAAGCCAAAGCCGCCAAAAGCCGCCAAAAGCTGCATAAACGCAAAAGCCAAAGTGCCACCTGCCGAAGAGGAACTGGGAATGCAAAGGATGCGACAAGCCAAAGCCAAAAAGCCACGCCGCATAAACCAACAAAAAGCCGAAAAGCCCAGAAGCGGGAAGCCAAAAAGCCAAGAAGCCAAGAAGCCGAAAAGCCAAGAAGCCAAGAAGCCAAGAAGCCAAGAAGCCAAGAAGCCAAGAAGCCAAGAAACCAAAAGCGGGAAACAAAATCTGAAAAAAAACCTTAAAAAATACCCCTCCCTGAAGCTGCACCGGCCGAACTCGCGCTGAAGGTCGGCACCCAAGCTTGCTTTCGTTTCCGCTCATTCCTCGGTTGCCCGAGGCAACCTTGCAGCAATGCCACGAGGCTGTAAGATGCCGGCAGGCTTTGCTGATGAGATGTCATCTCCCCCGACTCCTTCCGCTCTTGGACCACCTCCTTCGCAGCAAATAGGCCCCGGGCAAGCAAGAAACACTCACAAGCATGCAGAAGCTGCCAACAGCACAGCTCCTCGCTGCATAGGCTGCTGACCGAGGCCTTCGCACGGACACCAAACTTTCAGCTGCCAAAGCCATGTTGGAGCATGTTCTGTCTCGAAGCCACTATCGCATCAAATCAATCAAACACTGCAGAAACATGCGGAAACCATGTTTCTGCCCTCAATGAATTTGTAAATCAGTTTGGCAGCCCAAGTGCCAAGTGCCACCAAGAGGCGCGACGCTTTCTGCCACCCTGGGCTGCTCAATGGCAAAAGCAATTTGTTTGGCTTAAATCCATATTAGCACTAGCAACTGGGGCCAGAACAGCTTCCATCAACATCTCGGCCTCGGTACGGCAGCCTTGTGTGCCCGTAGCTCATGGCACTAGAAAAGTGTCGTTTGAAGGCTCCTAAAAGAAGGGCTATGTATTTGGTATTGCCATCAATGTTGGTTCACATATTGTTGCAAAAGATGCGCGATGGAGTTGTGAAAGTCTTTCTTGTGCAGATATATAGGCTGTTATCTTTGTACTTCGGTGGAATGGGAGTAGCTTTTTCCCCTGCGCTCTCGCAAAGGCCGACAACAGTTTTCGAAGTGCTTATCCTGATTGATTTTGCTGACCCCCAACAGGCTGGACCCGACCCCCCGCCTTTGTCTTCTCCGGCGGGAGCAGCTGTCCTGTCTCAAGGTCGCTTGGCAACTGAACGCCGCTCTCGGCCTGGGCCGCAGCACATGTGACAATTGTGAAGTCACATAGGGTAGGTGGGCGAAAAATGAAGAGTTGCCAACTTGAAATCGCGGATCCCAACAGGCCCATCCTGCTTGCTGGGCGCGGGCGATATACCCCAGTTTGTTTGCTCACCAATGCATCTAACCCCCCAGACTTCTGTGGCCTGCTTCTGCTGGATTGCTACTTGTCCAACGCAGGGGGTGCCACCCAAGCCTAGCATGGCACCTGTGCACCTGGCGCGTCAAGCACGGGCGCTGGCGTTCTTCGGCGTCCGCAAAAAACGAAGGCTGCGGATTTCATCCGTGGCCGTGAGGCATTCGTGAACACGCGCATCGCATGGCTCAGGTGTCGGGGAGCTCAGCTGGAAGCTCTCTGTACTCGGCCTCGCAGCCGGCCCGGCGCCAGGCCAAGGCCAAGGCCACAACTGGCACAGCCAGGGCTGCAACGCCTAGATCGAAGCCAAGGCGCGAGAGAAGCACGCCGGGGCGGGCGCCAAAACCCAAATCCGGCACCAGCGTGAGAGAGGGTCCTTGCATGTCATGGATGGCGAAGACTTTTCGGAGGAAAATGTCTCCCAGCACCATGTGAGGGAAAGACTGCGAGGGTGCGAGCCCAATCTTACAGATCTTTCGGCCGAAAGATTCCCCGGCCGGGAGGAGCAAATCGGCGGTGGTCAAGCTGATCAACAGCTCACCATCTTTGCCTGGAAATTGCAGGGTCAGGTGGTTCAAGTCTGCATCATCACATGGAACAAGACCATCATGCACATGTCTCTCCATCTTGGTACCCACGGTTAAGGCCCACATTGTCTGCTGGTAGGCGTGCATCGGCAGCAGCAGGAGGGAAGTTCCTGAATCAACCACTCCCGAGCCCGTCAAATTGAGCACAAGGTATCGAAAATTCTGGCCCCGCGCCACGCAGAGGCTCATGGAAACCATCCAAAAGAGCAGTTTCGTCGCCTCCTTGGCTTCAAAAGGACGCACGTCCAGGGTGACGCCCTTCGACGAGGTTCTGCTTTCCGCATTTCGGATCAGCTCGGGCACTTCGCCCAACTCGATGAAGCTCTCCCCTTCAGTGCCACGCAAGGCCAGGCCGAAGCCCAGGTTCACAAAGTGTCCCGCCGCGCCGAGGTCTTGCAGGAACGTGGCGCGGCCAACGTCCAGCATCCCCGGGAATGCCAAGCCCAACCTTGGTTGCTGTTGACCCCCCTGCAAAAGTTTAACTGTTTGGGCGTTTAGTGGAAAACCACTTGATTTCCCAAAAAAGTTAAAGTTTAAAGATCCAACCCAATAGCAGTCAAGCAACAAGCCATCAAAGAGGGGAAGGTTTTCGCCCATGCCCCTGATGCTCACTGCCAGCAAGAACTCCTGCCTCACGCAGATGGACGCCATGCAGATGCGGTCGCTGGCCGGTACCGCAAAGACTTCACCCATGCCGTAGGTCACATGGACCACCCGCTTTCCTGGCTCAGGGTCCATCATGGGCATCTCCTTCAGCCACAAGTTGCTGGAGCCGGTGTCCACCAAAGCGCGGAAAGGCTCATGGTGGCGACCCACGTGCAGCTCAACCGTATATAAGATGTCTGCAAAGTTGCGCACCAGAACCGACTCATCAGCCTGGCTTGCACTGAAACCCGTCACCGTCGTATTTGAGGCAGATGCCAGGATCCAGGACGCATTCCCCTGAAGGTGCACCTGTAAAGGGACCCGGATGCCAGCCGCGTCAAAGCAAAGCAAGGCCAACAGCGCTTGCTGCATGGCAAGCACATCATGTCAATGCAAGACCGTTTCCCCGTTGCTGGTTTTTGCTTCTATGTGTGGCGAGAAAAATCACGCGCTGAAGGCTCGTTTCTGTGTTCCCCCTGCTGGGTGGCTGAAGCCTCCTGACATTGAGGTGGTCATTGAATATGATCGTTTCAATTGAGGCAGGCGCGGCACAACCATAGTGAGCTGTCATGCTGCAGGGGGTGGCAGCGGCAGCAGTGGAAGAAGCGAAGCGCAGATCCAAGCTGTGTGACTCGCACATTTCAGTGCGATTACTTCAATGGGGGAAACTCCAAACTCCCGCAACCACAATGTAGAGTTGGAAGTTCCATCACCCCCAGCCGTAGTTCTCTCTTCTCATGCCGAGGCTGCAGCCAGCGCCTCCTGCAGAGTGTCTGCTGACCTGGTGCAACTCGGATCTCACAAGCCGACGCCAAAACGAGTTGTGAGCCTTGTCACGGGCACTTCGAAGACCTCATTCCACTCAGGATTGAGTGACCTGCAGCTGAGACAAGCTTGGAGCGACAAGCCCAAGTGCTTGCCGCCTGATCTTCGAGCTGCTTCTCTGTCGGAAGCAGAAACCATCCGCAGAATGCGCGATCACCTGCCGAGCTGCTCGCTCGACGGAGGTGAAATGAAATGATAGCCTTTGGGAGTTGGATACCTTGGGCTCCTTCCATATATGGCCGGGGAGGTCCCTTCCCCAGTCGAAAAGCGTCCAACTCCCAAGACGCTGAGAAAAGTGGCCACCCGAACGAGGAAGTTGCGCACAGGCAAGCGATAGACCCCATGCCGCCCTTCCAAGCAATTGCCAAGTACATCTCCCCCCAAATCCAAATCTGGCGGACCCCTTGGCACATCACAAGCCACCAAGCCTCAACCAGCGGGTCTGACGACCCCTTGATCATCATGAGGTCCTGCATCCATCGAGCCCCCCAAGATTCCCGAAAGCCCCACAGCAGCAAAGCAGCAAAGGTATGTTCCTGTTGAGAGGGGGTCCCTTTGGAGGAAATTGGTCTTTGGCCCCCGGTCAGGTCAGGTTCCATGTTAATGGAAAAGAGGTTATGACTCTAACTTGCCCATGCAGAATCATGTCTTTGGCGCTTCTACCCTTCTTGGGCTGCACCAACCGACCTGTATGCCAGAGGCGGCCAACGGGCACGGCATTATGTGCGTTAGCCTTACTTGTGTTTTTCTGATTGTGCTTTCCAAAATATGTCTTCTTTCCTTCCAGGAAGCAAATTCAGGCAATCTGCCTGGTTTGCATGTGCTGTGCGCTGTCCTGCGGTCTTTCTGGCCTGGACTCACGCGCCCTATTGCACTTTCCCAGCTTCCGAGTGTAGGTGCGCCTCATGATACTTCTTGTCCGGACATGCTGACATGCCGCAGTTCATTTACGTTGGTTGCAGGGACACACCGCCGGCAATACGTAAGATTCGACCGGGTTGAGTGAAAAAAAAGCTTCGATTCGACACATTGCTTTATATATTCCTTCAGGCTGGGAGAGGTTGATTTGCTCCGGTTTCGGACGCGCTGTTGGGGCCGATCCAAAGCTCATTTCCAAGGATTGCCTCTCCAGACTTTCCGGTGTGAGGAGACGACGGGACCTGGGAACCGGATGCGATTCCATGGTCTAGCTGCCTTGGCCGCCTGCCCGGCTGGCCCGCCTCACGGGGCAGGTTGACCGCTCTGATCAGCTTGACCTGGGACGAATAACACAGTCACGTTGCAGGGAATGAGGGAATGACCCCTATAAACCATCCCCTATGTTTTCCTGTGAGGAAACTCCCCGAGTTCATTCGCAAGCCCTGGGTCATTCCCTGCTGAGCACCAGCTAGTCACACACTCCCGGGCGTTCCCTTTTGCCGTTGACGGCGGGCGCGCTTTGACCCCAGCGAACTACACGTGCTCGAGACTTGCTCTTGCAAAGCTTCGGCCCTTCATGCCACCGAGAGATGTCGTCTTTGTCCAAGCCGGCACCTGGTCTGATCCTCCAAAGATTGCCAGATGCTAGATCTAAAAGCATATATGTGGGCATGCCATCTCTCTGCGACTTATCGCTGCATCTTCAAATTCTCTCCCAAGCTCATGGGTCGAACTCCAGGAGCACATGAGGCTGAGTGCATCAGGGCTCTTCAAGGGAGTTCCATTGCTCCTGGCAGGAGAAAGCGTTGAGAAACGAGTTCTCTGACTCAGCGACTGTCCTCAGATTCCTCCAGCGGGCTCTGGTAGCGGCTTGAGTACATGTGGGGCTCCTGATGGATGCCGCCACTCGCCACCGGCAGTCCGCTGAGCTGCGCTCTGAGCGCCCGGCCGTGTGGGACTCTGCCTTGTCGTCTCGATCTCGCCGCCGGCGTTTCTTGACGCGCAGATCCTGTACTTGCGCGGCACTTCTGCAAACCAAAACCTCTTGGAGGTGTTATGGACTTGCCCTGAAGGTCGAACAGAACTTGAATTTGCAGCCCCTCTCATTTGCCGCACAAGCTGCGCCGACTTCCACACAACCCATCTGAATCGGGAACCCGAGCTGGAACATGCCATCGCCTCGAAGTGCAACGAGGAAGAGGAATCCGTGGCAGAGACAGAGCTGCCAGTGGGACGCTCAGAGCCACGAGCAGCTCCTCAAAGCAACCCCCCCTGCTTCAAAATGAACGAATTCCATGCCATTCTGCAGAAAATGGAGAACTTCTGTGGGAATATGTGGGTGTGGGTCAAAATGGGTACCCAAGATGCAACCCTGCTAAATGGAAGCAGGACTTGAACTTGTGGTTTTGTGGCGGCTTAATTCTGACGCATACCCATGTGAGATATCTTCACCTGCAAGCTGTGCAGGATGCTGCACAGCTGCCATAAACTGATCATGGGGCCCGTCCTGTTGAATAATGACTGGAGTGTGCACGTTTTCTGCACACCTCCGCCAGCGGTGCTGACAACGGCGGCGGCATCAGCTCGGGCCTCAGCGGGGGGAGCGAACGCGGCCGCACTCTCTGCGCTCTGCTGTCTGCGCTGCCAAGATCCTTCCTGCTGTAGGGCCCCGATTCCATGTGTCTAGTCTTCCCAATAAGCGGGAAAATGGAACCTGAAATGGATATCTAGGGGTCACCCCATTCCCCCAGTTCCATTTTTAGTGGGTGCCAAGCTGCAATGCCTCTCCTCCGCTTTCGGCCTGGTTATCCGGCGTGGTCGGCTTTGATGCCGAGCCTGCCGCGGTAATGCTGGAGTCGCGGGGTGGAACACAAGGTCATAAGTCGATTGCGCGGAAAGGGCACTGCTCGACACCAGCCTCGGCCAAGCTCTGAAGAGGGCACCCCTGAACAAAGCCGCTCTCAATCTTCAGACGACGAAACGCAGAATCTTATCGCTACCATCAACAGTCTGGAAACGACCACGGCTCCCGCTGGCGAATCTCCAAATGCGTTCTGACGAGCTGGACGCTTGATTCACACTGCTTTGGATGGTGCAGTTTCATCTGCACATCAGCGTGATGCAAGCTCACGCCATGAAACAGTTCTCCGGGCTTGGCCTGCGCTGCAAACCCTTCGGGATCACGTGGCGTCTAAAAAAAGAGGTTCCCCTTTTTGTTACAAAGGACACCTGGTACAGTGCGGCTTCTGCGGGAAGAAGGTGCGGACCTATTTGTAACAAAAACGGGAACTTCGGCTTGGAGACCCGCTTGAACCTCAACCTCAACAGGTGGATTTGAAATGCTGGAACTGAGTGTCGGCGGTGTGCAAGCTGGCTAAGGGGGATGAGCAGCAGCTGAAATTGGCACATGAATTGCCCCCCGTGCTGCTGCAGTCTCTGTCCAGCTGCCGCAGCTCTGTGATCCATTATTGGAACAGCACACGCCCCCCTCCCAGCCAGACACCCACTCACCCCACCCCACCCCACCCCACCCCACCCCACCCCGCCCCGCCCCGCCCCACCCCGCCCCGCCCCGCCCCGCCCCGCCCCGCCCCGCCCACGCACCACAACCTTCCGGCGCTTCCAAACGGAAAGTCGCTCCGAGCGGCAACGATCACAAGTCAACTGTAAGAGAGGGCAGTCAAGAGCGCGGTGTCCGCAACTCATCCCAAGGGCCTCAACTGAACACATGTGGGCACGAGTTGGCAATGGACCCTCTGGTGGACATCATCTGCACGGGGATGTTACCTAATGTCTAAGCATGTATGGTTAGACAACCACTCAAACTCACAAGCCAGGTGGTTCCTTTAAGGGCCTTCGTCCTTTTGTCCCCGGCCTGATTCCAGGAACGCCTTGAGGATGTCTTCCTCTGCGCTGCCTTTCACTTCTTGGACCCTGCGGCTTTGTGTCGGGAGGCGTCGGGAGGCGGGAGCGGGTGGTCGGAAAATTCTGGACTCCTTCTTGGACCCCGAAGACGGCAGAAAGGTGACAAGGTCCAAAACATGGTGTGGATGGCCGAAATCCATTTCGCACCACCTAGCAGACCCTAGAAGGATGATTCTCCTGTAAATACCAACAACCAATGGTTTCCCATAGTTTCAACGTGGTGCAGGATTTCGTCCATCCACAGCACCCCTACCTACTTTTGACAGCCACTCATTCTGTGCTTTTCGCGGGCGCACTTGCTCACAGAGATTTCTCTAGGCTCTGTCTCAAAATGGGAAGCCCTGGTGTTGGACGGCCTAAACCCAGGTGGCCGTGGGTCAAAACCCAAATCGTACCCCCAGTGAGCATCCGATTCAATCCTCGCCAAAATGGGTTCTAAATGGGGTGGTCCCATATGGGATCCCATTGGTTTTGAACTATGGCCCGGTGATTTTTGGGGCAGTTCGCACATCCCAGTCCTCATGCTGCCCTCGGGCTGCACCATCTCAGACACTTTTGCCACGAAGAGATGGCACTGCACCTGGCAGTGCTCCCCCCCCACCCCCCGACAACTGTCCTTTCAGGGTGCCATAGAGCAGTGGCGCAGCTGCCGACTTCAATTCGGAATCCATGCTAAGAGGCTGTCTCTTTTTGAGGGTACCCCTTTTTGGATGCTTTGCAAAGAAACCAAAAAAGAAAGGGAGAGAGAGAGAGAGAGGAAACGGACCCCCCCCCCTTTTGGGGGAGGTCTTAATTACTTATTTAAAAGCAAAAATAACACGAAAGTTCGAGTTTAGAGCAGAACTCCAATCACACTAGCCTTTTACAGCTGGCACATGTGCTGTGGTCTGAATGTCTGGGAGCTATGCCTCAAACACATGGTGCTTCTTATTTTGGGAGAGGCCTTCTTTGAAGCCCAACCAAGCCTGAACCTGGCCTGCCACGTGCCAAGTAGAAACCAGGTCAGTTCACTCCAAAACCTCTTAAAAACTCACCCTCTTCTTGGCCATGAAGGTGGGCCCCTTGATTTTCCCACCAGCTGCAAAGGTGTGTGGTGGAGGCGATTTGGGCGAGAGGGGAAGAAAGGAGACGTTCAGTTGCCAGGGCTTCTCAAAAGATCGTCCTGAAAAACCACGGTGCTTTCCAAGGGCATCCCCGAAACCAGCTCAGGTGATCTAAACCACTGGCGCAATTGTCCTTGAATCATAGAAGCCAGCCACAGGTTTCTGAAGTTGCCCAACGCCTGCCAAAAACCGAGCGGAGTTCTTCAAGAACTTCCTGTCACAATCAAACCCCGGCATGAAACTGGTCTACCCAGAACCGTGTAAAGAGTTTCGAAGCCTATCCGCAGCTACTTCTGGTTGGGCTCGTCCCTATACCTTCGCCTACCCGGATATCCGCAGCGCGACTCCTGTGGCCTACAGACCTCTGAGCTCTCGGGCCCGGACCATCGAGAGGCCTAACTCCAGCAGCTCCTCGTAGCGCACCGAGGCCAAGTCCTGGCAACGCGCTTGGCCACGCGGGAAGCTGCAAGGCCAAGCAAGCGAGCTGCCAAGAAACCGCTCCCCACCAGAAACCAACCCAGAAACCAGGCAACCAACTTCCTAGTTCAATCAAACCCGCCCAAACGAGCAGCATGTGCAAAGCCCTTCTGCATGGGCGATATGAGTTGCTGGAAAATGCTTGTGCGATGCGGCTTTATCTTGCAAGACCTCTCTGGGTCCCTTGGACAAAGCAAGTGGCCGCCCATTTTTCCATCCACAGCTGACAGCTATGGGGTCTCTGCCCAAGCTTTGATTTGAGCACGGGCTTCGGCGGGTTTCCAGACGTTTCGGGCCAGGTTTGGTCGGGTTCAATCCGCCGACCCCTTGTCTGCAAGGGCGAGGCGCATGGGAAGGGTGTCATCATCATCATCGTCGTCATCCTCCTCATCATCGTCATCATCATCATCATCACACCAAGGCGTGGCGCTCGGCTCCATTAGCGATTCAAGGGATGCTACGATGACCGTGGCCAAGGCAGCTGGAGACGCAGAGGATGTCGCGACGCGATGATAGTTGTGATGACGCGGATGAACGCCATCATCTTCCTCATAGTCCTCATCGTCATCATCATCACGCCAAGGCGTGGCGCTCGGCTCCATTGGCGATTCAAGGGATGCTACGATGACAGTGGCCAAGGCAGCTGGAGACGCAGAGGATGTCGCGACGCGATGATAGTTGTGATGACGCGGATGAACGCCATCATCTTCCTCATAGTCCTCATCGTCATCATCATCACGCCAAGGCGTGGCGCTCGGCTCCATTGGCGATTCAAGGGATGCTACGATGACAGTGGCCAAGGCAGCTGGAGACGCAGAGGATGTCGCGATGAT